GCATAATTCATGAAGAGGAGAGGTCTCCATATGATTCATGTTTTTTGACACACTGATTCTTCTGGAGTCATCTGTCCCTTTTTGAAAGCTGTAAATGAAGTCTGAAGCATGTTCAGTGTTTAGGTGAAACTTGGATTATATGAATCTGGGCCAGACTGAGTTTAATAACACGCAAGTTTGCATCAGAATACATCTGTCAACTCTTAACACCTAAAAGAGAGGAAATTAAAAGTTGTTGAAATATTCTTTCAAATCTGGATGCTTCCTTCAAGTTTGTGGATAACGCACTTCTATTAACCCAACAATGTTTCTGTTTTTCTGTTGCTGTAAAACAAATGTTGCCCATCTCTCACATTGTGTTTTTTAATACTCCATCTTTCACTTGAGCATACACTTGTGCAACCTTATTGTATATCTTAGACATTTATTTTCACTTTTAAGTTTTCAAGGAAAATACTGAAAAATTGTGACTTGAAAAGCCTGCACTTTTTAAAAGCAGTATCGTAGAATACTATGCAGGATATATATTCCTTCCTTCAAGTATTCCTCCCTTACTTCCTTGTCCTTGCTTCTACCCTTTGTAGGCTTCCTTTTTGTGTTGGAGTTTGTCCAGGATCTCCTTGTTCACTCACGCAGGCCTCCTGGAGTTCTTGCCTGATGTTCTCTTTGTTGGGATGCATTGCTCCTGAGCTTGGAGAAGGTGATGCTTGAATTTTAGTGATTTTCTTGGGCCCTCTTTCCTTCAGGGCTTTATCACATGGGTGCCCAGGAAAGTTCTCGTTTAAGGACTTGATGTGTGTGAAAGATTATCTATAGCTTGCAAGTATCTTTCACAAAGGATAGTTTCCATTTAGTGATACACAGACTTCTGCAAACAGAGCAGTAGAGGTACTTTTAGGCTTAAATTCATGATTCTGCCCTTCTCTGGTTGGGCCATGAAAAGCTGAATCATTTGAGGACTTAATATTCTAACTTGTAGGGGTATTTTTAATGGGGGGAGAGGTTAGATTCTAGTGGATGAATTTATTTTTCAACAAGTGCAGTTCACAGTTACTGTGTGAGGTCAGCAGAATATGTCTTTGTGGAATTTAAGTTTTGCTTTTCATAGTCTTTGGTTTTATCCATGTAAGATGGATCATTTAATCATCTTAACCCCAAATGGTTGTTCAGAAGTAATTCTAAAATGTCTTTTGGATGGTCAGTCTATTAGGCTAGCAGATGATAAAGACTGAGACACTTTTAAGTTGTGAATTCCTCTGATACTGTTTACTGTATTTTTTTATTATTTCCGTAGGACCTTTTTTCCCATACCAAATGTTCTGTTTATCAAAAAGGTTCCAGCCCATTCTTTTCTCACATCCTGTATCCCTGTGTCTTCTGCCAAGTCCCAAAGGTTTTTATTGCCCATATTGACAATCCCAGGGTTATTGAAGGATACGTTGTAGGATGTAGAAATACAGATTTTAACTATTTTTTCCCTTTTGTATCTAATCCCTCCATAGCTGGTTTGGCCTACATCATTGGCTTACTTGGTTTTTTTTTTTGTTTGTTTGTTTGTTTTTGTCTTTGATTTTTCTCCTGAGATTTTGGAGCCTCTGCCCTAGTTTCAGCCTGTGGTTTCTAGTGGCATGTTTTCTGAATATTGCTTAAGGATATAGAAGCTCCCAAAAGGAGCAAAAAAAAATAATCCACAGTATTTAGGGACAGTGGTGCATTGAGTAGAATCAGGCACAGGAGCTTAACAGTCAGGTAAGGCTGGAATTCTTTGGGGAAAAACTGTAACTGTAAACTGCACATACAATGCTGGACTTGCAGTATCCCCTTGGAGAAGTTATTTAAAAGGTAAGACTTTCATTCTTGAGGGAAAACCGTGAGCTTTTAGAATATAGTATTTCACAGGTTTAATTTTACGTAAAACATGGAATTAAGAATTTTTGAGATAGGTTAACACTAAGGTGTTTTTCTTTGCTGGTTCTTAAAGGGAAACAGTTCTGCATATTGGTTTAAGGAAAAAGAAAACCAACAACAATCCTGAAAAGAATTAATAGCATTTACTTTTAATTAGAATGCAAATTTTCCAGAACAGCATTCTTGAAATAGTAAATTTTAATAATTGAACAAAGTTGTGGGAACTTAACAGCTGAAATCGAAGCAATAACTGGAATACCTGGAAGTGCAGGTACACTTTGGGCAAACTCTAATTTGTTTTTTCAGACTTACAGTAATATTTCAGTATACATTGTATCCTATATTCAGCATCAAAAGTATTAACTATAGTTTCCTATGACGTTTTGAAAAAAAGTTTTTATAGCATTTCTTATTCTTTGGTATCTAATAAATGGAGGAGTGGCAGTTGCATCTAATTTTTGTTTGTGCATACAGGCACTTTTAGGTTAGAGCTATTTAGAGTGTTTTCAATCATTTAGGAAGTTTATAGTTACCAAAATAGAATAATCCAGCATGGGTTTTTTTGCAAATGTTTATCTAATCTGAAGATGTTATGCCAAGATACATTCCTGGATGTTATCTCAATTTTTTGTTTTGAATAATCTAAACAGTTACTTTAGCTGTCAGACATTCCTTGGACACTGCAGAGCGTAGCACCTCTGGCACTCGCCAGATGTCTGACTTTCAGGCTCAGGGTGCTTGATTTATCGGGTGGCAGAATGCATTCCCATCAGTTGTTCCCCCTTGAAGATAAGTAGCCAGAAAGAACAGTGCTCAACATGAGTGCACTGTAAAGTGCGCTGTTTATTTTATTGGTTTGCTCCTCTCATTAGAAGAGGGTTTTCATTATTGTCACCTGGAGGACCTAGGAGTTAAAGAAGATTGTTCTAGCTGATCGTTTATTAATATTTATTAATACTTTTTATTTTGATTATTGAAAGAACTCTTAAAGTAGGTAAGAAACCCTCTTAAAACATAGTACTGACACAATATAGACATCCAATACCTACCTTCCTGGTAAGGTGTATGAAATGAGCAACCTTATTATATTCCAGTAAGTGGGTTGGAATACAAAATAAGGAACCTTGCAGTGATTAAGGTGAGAATGAATGACCAGAATGCTGTTTCTCCTATCAGCAGTGGTGGTTTACATGAAAGCCTATGATTCACACAAGTAGTATATGTTTTGCTGAGATTGATGGCAACGTGAATATGGAAGCTGTTTGTTTTCTTTTTTCACACCTTTTTAGGTGTGTTTGTTTCCTTTTTCACACACTTTTTAGGAATGTGCTTAGAAGCAAGTACAGGCAGCAGCAATTGATCAGCTTTTTGTATCCCAAGATCAGCAAATACCAATTTACAGTGCAGGAAGTAATAGGCATGGAAAACTTAATTCATATTAAAGTTATACCTTTCTCCAGGTGCTTTGTAGTGTTACTAGAACAGTAATCTAATTTTCATAATCACAGCTTCACTTTGGGATTTTGAGCTACACCTGCTTCTCAACTTGTAAACCACTAAGTCTGTGGAAGTGTCTTTTAATGCCATGTGAGCCATACCTTTCACAATGTCATGTGTAGCTATTTGTAAACCTTTACTGTTACCTTGTGATGGGTTGAGCCTGTCCGGACACCAGGTGTCCCCCAAACTGCTCTATCACACCCCTCCTCAGCAGGACAAGGAGGGGAGAAAATAAGATGGTGTCTTGGGTTCATCAGTAGCAGTCATTTTTCTCCTTAGTAGCTGTTGCAGTGCTACGTTTTTGAGTTGCAGCCTGGGAGCAATGCTGGTAACACCGATGTTTTTAGTTGTTGGTAAGTCACTGTTTACTCTGACCAAGGACTTCTTGAGGCTTACGCTTTGCCAGGGAGGAGGGGAAGCTGGGAGAAAGCAGAGACATGACACCTGACCCAACTAGCCAAAGGGATATTCCATAGCACAGTACGTCATGCCCAGTATATAAACTGGGGGGAGTTACCCACAAGGGTAACTGCTTGAGTCAGGCTGAGTATCAGTCGGCAGGTGGTGAGCGGTTGTATTCTCTTCCCTTGTTATTTCCCTTATCATTGTTATTATTGGTGGTAGCAGTAGTAATTTTGTGTTACACCTTAGTTACTGAACTGTTCTTACCTCAGCCTATGGGAGTTACATTCTTTCGACTCTCCTCCCCATCCCTCCAAGTGCAGGGGTAGGGAGAAGCGGTGGGAGTAAGCAAGCAGCTGCATGGTTGTGAGTTAGCAGGTGGGCTTAAACCAACGACAGATGAAAGAAACCTTATGGATCAAGGTAATGGCAGCTTAGTAAAGCAAAAGCAGAGGGTGCTCATGGAAGCAAAAGAATACAAAAGATTTATTCTCTACTTGTCAGCAGGTGATGTCTGGTCACTTCCCAGTAGGCATGGCTTGCATACGTGTACAAGTTACTCTGGAAGATAACCAGTCAACAAATATTCACCTTCCTTCTCCTGACTTCCCCCATAATTCCCTGAATTACATTGACTCTGTTATGGCTGTTGTCAAAGTGGCAGTTGTGCAGACCCATGACAGCTGGAGTAATGGCACAAGTGGAATGGAAGCCAGTCCATGATCTTAACGAACCACATATATAACTTAGCTCCTGTAATTAATGTCTTGATTTTGTTAATGAATTTTGTTTACTTTGTAGAGACCATCCATAGCGATGGATTGATTAAATCACAATTCAGTATTGTTAGATATTGATGAATAAGAACCTAAGACAATTTTAAAGCAGAAAACCAGGAAATATTCATATATACATACCTATATGTATATATAGCCTTTATTTACATAATCTCATATATTTTAATAGTTATTCCTAATATTTTTGAGGGTATATCCATGAAAAAAATCTGGAATCAGTATCTTGTTTGTGATTTATACTTTCTTTGTCCTCCTCAGGTTACTGCTGGTATAAGGGAAGCCTTTTATATGTGTGTCTGTGTGTGTGTTACTGTTTGGGGGTTTTTTTGTTGTTGTTGGTTTGTTTTGATCATAGCACTTTTCTCACAGAAGTGGATTTTCTTTTTATTCTAGAACCCTGTCAAGAAAATTCCAGATTCTCATGAAATTACACTACAACATGGGACAAAAGCAGTAAGTGGTAACACATTCTTGACACTGAACTGAGCATGTCTATGAAATAAGTTAGTTAGTACATAATTATTGTCAGGTAAAGATCAAGAAGCTAGTTCTTTTTCTTTATTTCTAATGTTAGTGTAGCTCTTCCCTTACTGCAATTGAAAGTGTGTTTTAGGGCTGCCTCTTTGCTTTCTTGTAATAACCCAAACATGGCTCTGTTTCTCAGTTGCAATCTCATTTTTGTCTTCCTTTCTGTCAAGTGACATTCCTGTGATTGTTAGTGTTCCTCTTCTAGGCTAGACCTTCTTAAACTAGACATAGGTCTAACCTAGACCTTTCTTTGACTGTTCATGGGTTTTAAAGATAATTTTATTGCTGAAGTTTCTAGGACTTTTCTGTAGCTGAATACTGGGCTCCTTCATTTTCCTTGAATCTTTAACTTCCTTTTACATACCATTTTCAATTTCTTGAAACTTTGTTCTTCCTTGATTTTGAGTGTATCTTTTCTAGGTTTAGCCTCCAATATTGCTCCTTTACTTTCTTCTAAAGAAGCATGCTCTGACTTGTAACTATTATTTCTTTGTTCTGTAGTCAGTATTTTTATCTGTGGGTAATCTCATTTTCCAGCTGTTTTTATGTGCTGGTTGATAGAAGATCTGTTTTTGTAGTATGGAGTTTATTTTCTGGCTATGAAGAGCCTTGAATCTATTTCCACTTTCCCCATATTCTTTTTTGGTCATTAAAAAAATTATGCTTCTCTTTATTCTTTTCAGTTTGGAACATGACTTAGGCTTCAGTGAGAAAATTTTGTTTTATTGTTCTTATATCCCTGTGAAGACACTGCCAGCTAGTTAACAGAATTTGTACTTATGGCACTCCTGAAAGTTTCTTTGGAGAGGGGGAAAGGAAAAAAAAAAAAGTTGAGAAAATGCTTTTTCATGAGGCTTTAAACAATCTAAGGAAATACATATTTTTCTTGTATTAAATTTTTAAGAAAACTCCTGGTTTTATTTTCTGTTTGTGTAATATTTTCAGAAGTGTCAAATCATTAATCTGGCATCAAACTTTCTGGTCTCTCTTAGACTGTGGAGAGGTGGTAAGGCTTACCCAATTGTTCCTAGTGCTAGACATACAGGCATAGAGGAAAGAAAAAGTAGCGAATTATAAATGTGTAAAATATGCATATTATTACATGTAACTTCTTTGCATAATAATTTCTGTGTATACTAGGATTTGGAAGCTATTTTCCCATTACGCATGTGACTGTAATTGCTTCTTCAGTATGCTGCTTGAATATATTTAATAACAAAATTTATTATGTACAATTTTTTGAATTATTTTTCTCGATATTACAACAGTAAATCTGTTGGCTTCTTAAAGCATTAGCTCAGGCTGTTTCTAACTAAAAGGCTTCATAAAATGGAAGTTACAATTTTGAAAGACTTCAGAGGTATTTTGACTGCATAAGAATGCAGCTGTCATCACCTAGAGCAGAGGTGAATTATAATATGGGTATATATAGCACAGTTGGATTAGACTGGGTGCAGTGATCTAAAAATTAAAAAAATCCAAACAGGTCCTCTGTAGGACTCTAGTTTAACTTCTTTTAGAATAATGAAACCACTTCTGTCATTGCACACATGTAAGGATGGGAGCAACTTCAGATCTTTATCAAGGGTTCACCTCAGTGTTTGAAAATAGTCTTCTCATTATGTTCATACAGTGTACCCTATTTCAGCTAAAATTATGTATCCCATCTGTACTCCTTGAGTCTAATGAGTGTGGGTTTGCGGATGACTCTATTCCTGTGCAGCTGAAAAGCTCTCAGAAAATATTTCCCAAGCTGGAGATTCTTTCCAGAAACCAGATAGATTTCTTTGTTACTTTGCTTCTACAGTGCAGTAAGAGTTACTGTTCCCAATGAAACTTCCGGGATATATAAATTTCATTAGTTTTTTTTTTTTTTGTTTGGTTGGTCTTTTGTTACATAGGTGGGTATGAAAAAGAATACACAATCAGAGGTATTCTGAAGAATCTGCTTTCTTATGTCTCTTATCACAGCTGGTCCTTGTTATACTTGTTATTGTGGGATAGAACTCTTGTGTCAGTTAATTGAATGCGTGATTAATCTGAAGAAGCACAATTTTTCTGCATGTTAGAAGCCATATATTAAATGAATGGGACTTAAAAATGGTACTAAATGGTAAAAAGGGCATTTGTTTTTCTTTTCTTTCTTTTTTCTTTTCGAAACATGTAAGAAGTTGCATTTATTTTATTTGAAAAACGAGTATGTCACACTGATATAAGCACTGTGTGGCATGTAATTCATTCTTGGGGTAGCACAAAGCAGTATATTTAAATGTTTGAATTGGGAAAGTAAAAAGAAATGTTGAAAGGAAAAGATACTGAATCAATGAGATGCTTTCTGTTAATGTCACTTCTCCATATGGTGATGTGTACACTAATAAAGTTCTTCAAATAGAGGATTGAAATAGGATTTTTCACGAAAATTTTGATTTTAATTAACCTTTGATTTAACGGTAACAAATGAGAGTGGTGAGCATTAAACATTCTTTCATCAAAGTTCTCGGTAGTTTTCACCATCAAGCTCTGTATATGAAGCAAATGGTGTTCTTTAAATTTTTCTGAGCTTTTTTAGGTAAAATAATACTTTATTAAATTTGTAATTTTTTTAATCTAAGTTTGTACTTTATTTTTGCTTTCCTTTTCAGAAGAGAAATTTAACTGAACAATGTGTGTATGCACATGAGTTGCCTTGAATAAACTAGCACAAAATCTTGAACTGTTGATGTTTAAATGCCATTTCAGTCTCTTACTGGTAGTAGTAGTTGTACGTTTGGAGAGAAGTTTAAGGTACAGTTTTCTTTATGGAAATTCACTATTGATGAAATATAGCTGATGAAGAAACCAGCACACTGAAGTGTTTTGGGTTTTTTTGTTAATTTTTATTTTTGTAGTAGTTTATGTTTCGATGACACCTAAAGACTAGTAGAAAAGAAAAATTAAAAGCTGAATGAGCTTAATTTCTTTATAGGTTTCTGCTTTGGGGTTGGATCCTTCAGGTGCCCGTTTGATAACTGGTGGATATGACTATGATGTTAAATTTTGGGATTTTGCTGGAATGGATGCTTCTCTGCAAGCTTTTCGGTCACTCCAGCCATGCGAATGGTAGGTATGAAGACAGCCTTTTTCACGTAAGACTGTGCCAATGTTAAGCTCCTAGTAGAAAGCGCAAAAGCCTTGTAAAATAGCTTGTTTAAAAATGCTTTGTACCCTTTGTGTGCTAATGTCTTTTCATGTTTTTTTCCAACAACTTGCATATTTTCCCCTTTTAGAAAGCTACAGGTGAATTTGATGATGAAATTGTGAATAGTGTATCAGCAAACAGGTGATGAACCTCTCAGAGAGACAGTTTGAGTTTCATAGTTGTAATAGAAATTACTAAAATTCACTTTCCATTTTGCTGTGCTTATATGAATTTTATGAACTAATTAAAACAGTTGACCCCTTTGTTGAGAGGTTATGTGGTTGCTGCCAGTATTTCTGAGTGTGTGTGTGTGTGGGTATCTAGTGTTCATTAAATCCTGTTTGTGGAAGTACTTGTCCTTTGTGTTGCACTGAGAAATTAATAGTTATGTAGTGTGCATTATGAAAAGTGAGTCTGTTTTTTTTATGTAAAAAGCTATATATTTACTTATTTCGGAGAACTGGAAGGGAGAACTTCTTCAAAAGGAGTGCATTTATCATGCACAACAAGCTCTCAGGTAGAAAAATTAATACATAAATTAATAGCAAGTTTTTTTAGCCGGGTACTTTCTAATGTGTAATATGCACTATGCAGGATACATTTGTGCTCTTGAAAAGAGGCCAGAGTTTATTATGTGCAGTAAGTCCTTAGAATGTCTATGTTTAAAAAAGAAAAGCTAGAGCTGAATTTTGGTTACTTTGGAAGGTTAGCATGTATACGACTAATTACAGATGTGGCAAGAATCTGGGTAATGAAAGAGGAGAAAAAGTTGGGACTTTTAGCCTGAATATGAGCAAAATAGAAAGGGGTGTTCTAAACTGAAGAATCGGGAAAATATAAAGTACACTATGTTTTGTTATGTGATTCTAATATCTGTGACCTTGTTACAGCAAACTGATGATAGGTGCATTTACTTTTAAACTGTTAGTAAACATACTGCTTTAAAATAAATAAGATTCTCCAAATATGAAGTCACAATCAGACTTCTCTGCCATGAGTCTCATTTACATGATTAGTTAGTGCAGTACAAATGATATTTTCCTCTTTGTCATAACTGAACAGTAAGAAAGAGCTGATAGACTTTTACTGCCACAGTAGGAAATTATGTTAACTGAAGTATGTCTGAACTGAGTAGAAGAGTGCACTCACATTTAGCAGTACTCGATAATAATGGTATAAGACATAAATATAGGGTAAAACCCACATATACAGTATATACTACTGTTCCAGTGCAACGCAAACAGCTTTGAAATAGATTTGTAACCTACTTTTTTTAGAAAGTAGTGGTAAAATATGCGTTTCAAGTGCTTGTTATCCCTGACATTGTCCATTAAGTGTTTTCTAAATACCTCCTAAGTATTTCTGCAAGGGATGGTTTTGGTGAAATGTACATTCCTGTGGTTTGCGTATGTTGAAGCATAAAGAAAAATAAAAACATAAATATAAAGTTGATTGGTGATAACTTTGGGAATTTCACTTATATTCTAAATCTTGTACTATTTGGGTTTTTAAAAAATGTATTATTTAAATACTTTCTTTTACCTTTACTTTCTTGTCAACATAAAACCGCTGATATAGCTCTTGTCTGGGAAAAAGATTCAAAAAGTTGTTTTATGCTGACACAGGGATGCTGGTGAGCAGTATATGGAATACTATATAGCTCTTTACACCTACTTGTGTGTATATATGGGTCTTAGGTTACTTTTTCTGCTATAGAATTTACTGCAAGGACTATTAGTATTAAGACACCTTACTTTCAAAGAATTCTGAAGAGTTCTGGTATGGAGGCTTGCAGTATACGCAATATTATGTAGCTTTTTACACCTACTTGTATGTATATATAGGTCTTAGATTACCTTTTCTGCTATAGAATTTATAGTAAGGACTATTAGTCTTAAGAAACCTTACTTTCAAAGAATTCTGAGGAGTTCTTGTATGGAGGCTTTAGGTTATAGCAGAAACCCAGTTCTGGAGCTGTAAATTTAATTTCATTGTAAGAATAAAAAAACTAGAGAGCAATTTTATATTGTCCAGGCTCCATTTTGTAGCATAATATCAGGTTACTCTGCTGATTTCTCCTTGGATTTGGGATGTAAGGAAAAAAAAAAGGAAGAGCATGACAAAAAGAACTGTTATCTTCAAAGTGCACCTTAGTGTTAAAGGCAGAGTCAGTGGTAAGTCATAGCTGTGTTACGTATGTAGAAATTATTTGTGTATCAGGGTGATGTATGTAGCTCTGTCCTGACAGAAAGTACTGTGTACATTTGGCAGTTTTATACCAAAAAGACTTGGATTAATGCTATTAAGGGGAACTGTTTTTCTAAGTTTCCCAATATCTCTGCTTTAACATTAATAAAAACAAAAAATTTTTCTTTAAGAACTGGCTCTTCAGAGCCTCACTGTTGTTCATACTCCAGTAAATATCTGCAAATCCCTTGCTTATAGAACCATTTTTTGGATGCAATTTTAAAAGCTGTATTGCACAGTCACAAAGTTTTGGGGTTTTGTTTTTTTTTTTTAGCTTTACATCAAAGCTGTGGAAATCCTTTCAGATTAGTTTTTTTACATGACTGATTTGATGAGTTATTAGTTATGTTCTCATTGCACTAGGTACTATAAAATCAGGTGCTTTTCCTTCAGTGTCTGAAAAATAGTTTTCTCAGACTCTGTGGTCCTTTACGTATTGCGAATTCTCTCAGAAATCAGAATTTAGTTCTGGGCAAGCTGTTTGATCAGATGTATTGACCATACCCTCTTAATGCATGATGCACGTATCAAGCAAATATCTTTTAACGTAGTGTTGTTTCTTTTTGGTTTTTATATTTAAAATTCTTCTAGCTCTAACGTTGAATTTGGTGCATTCTTTAGTTTTATTATCTGCTTGAAGAGAATATTCTAGACTTTAGATATTGTTTCTCTTGTGGGTTTGTTTTAATCCTTTTTTTTTTTTTCAGTGTTCCCTCTGAGCTTAATGTAGCTGACTTCCCTTTCTTTCTTGTGAGCAAGTATCCATTTTTTGCTCTTGAGGTTCCGGATGCTTTTTCAGGCATTGCTTGTCATCTGTTTTAGAAATTTACAGATTTGAGTGTCTCCTTTCTACAAAAACTCAGAGTTTAGAATACTTGGGCCAATTTGGCTGCCAGTTTGAATTAGATAATACAGGGAGCTTGATGCAGTTTTTGGCTTTTGCATCATAATGTAGTCAGTTTTGCCAGACATATTTGAACAAGAAACTTATGCTTACTTAACATTACTATGATTAATGCAGAACTTTTAAAACATGTATTAGAGTGTTTTTGTGTGCTCACTCACAGTTTGAGGACAGATTTAAGAGATAATACCTACTGCTGAGTCAGTGATGAAGTTGCTACCATGTAAGACAAATATTTAATTATTACCTTAAAAGCATATTTGGTTTTGTTCATCTGAGTGTTTATTTTACTTATGGGAAATTGTGTTAAAAATAAATAAAATAAATTAAAATAAAAATAAGTTACTAGTGTGTATGGTTACGTTCTTCACCAGAAGAAACTACTTTGAAGACAGTTTGATTGTCATGGGAATCTAAATCTAGCTGGCAAATGCATCACTGTCTTTAATTTGGGATTAATTTAGTTGCAGATTTGAAGAGTTAATATTAAGTAATGTTATTGTGGATGTTCAGTTAATGTATCAGGTTATGAGTTCTGGCAGGTGTGGATAGGATAGACATGCTTGCATTCTTTGCCATCCTTTTCATGGAATATAGCTGGGTAGGGGATCAGAGGGATAAATGAACTCAGTCATCAGCCATCCTCCCACTTTCAGTTATTAATTTTTGTTGCCTTGCATTCCATGATGTCTTTCCCGGTTTTCTCAATCTATAGAAGACATATGTAAGAGAACTTTTCCAGCAAGTGGACAATGTACAGTGGAGTGTTATGGAGGACTACAACATTCTTTTAATGTAATTTATGGATTAATGTGAATCCACGTGGTGCTTTTGAGGAGATGAAAAAGAATGTCAACCCTGAAGAGCTGAATCTGACACGCTATTTTTTTTGTGGTGTTATAAGAGAATTGTTTAAATTGTTTGCCAGCAGTGACATTTCAGATGGCAACTTTTAAAATTGTGCTTACGGTTTGATGTACTTTGTGTTGAAGAAGGAAATGTTACATGCGCGCGCACACACACACACACACACACACACACACACACACAAGGAATAAAAAGCTTCAATCCATCAGTTAATGGGGAGGGTTCCCACCTTTTTGATATAGGAATGTATGTGGGTCTATTTATGCAATCAATAAGTTTTCAAGTAAGTTTTCTAGTCTAGGCTTATAGGAGCTAATGCTGTTTTTTTTTTCTTTTTGTTTTAGTCATCAAATCAGATCTTTACAGTATAGCAGCACAGGAGATGTCATTCTCGTTGTCTCTGGTAACTCTCAGGCAAAAGTTCTTGACAGAGATGGCTTCCCAGTAATGGAATGCATAAAAGGAGACCAGTACATTGTGGATATGACAAACACAAAGGTAAAGTCAGAAATTACTTGAATGCCAGTGGTGTATTTTTTCTCTTAATGAGAAACCTCATGAATTTTAGTAAGAAGAATAATGCAAAGCCCTGTCTCTGGGATGCAGTCGTCCCCCTATTAGTACATACTAGAAGTTGTGGGCGTTCATCCATGGAGATTTTGAAGACCCATAGCTGACTTGATCTGTTGTTGGCTATAAATCTGGCTTTGAGCAGGAGATTGACCTAGGTAAACTCAAAAGGTCTCTTCCAGCTAACATTTCTCTGAAGTGAGAAGATATCCATCTATTCAACTTCCCTCATACACTTGTCCAGCCAGTGAATAAGAGAAAGTTAGAAACTATTGATCTGGTCAAAGCTCTTGCTTTCTTCTACTCTCTGTTCCTTTGCTGATACAATTTACTTCTTTCAAGCCAATGTTATTATTCTTACTTGCATGCCACAAATGTAAGAGTTTCTATCCTAAACAAACAGGGCTGACTATTTAATTTAGAGCTTCTAATCTTTATGAAGAACTTGCCTGAGTCATCTTGACTCTTGAATTCTGTTTCCTTAGTTTTCTCCAATAAGGCCTTTGACTAGTGTAGTTTGGCATAGATTTATATATATGTGTGTGTTTGTATCGTGTCACTGTGGCAATTCTTGTTTTCTTGGCTTTTTTACGTAACTTGGAACAATTTGCATGACACTATTGATACCTGTTGTTTCATCCTTTCTTTGCATTACAGTTCTCCTAAGAGAAAAAGGGGACGTAAGAAACAAAAAAATATAAATGGAAAGTTTTTGTAATTCAGAATAAAATCAACCAATGATGCAATGGATTAGAATACATAGTTTGTTAATTCATTGTGATGTCAGTCATTACTATGGTCAGAAAGTTCTGATTTGGACCTGAGCTTTCACGTGATTTCACTTGAAGGATTTGGAATAAAATTTGATATTTTTTTTATTTTTTTTGTAGAACATCTTACAAAACGTAATACCTCTTTGTTTTTATTTCCTTAGGGTCACACAGCAATGCTCAATTCAGGCTGTTGGCATCCAAAGATAAAGGAAGAATTTTTAACATGTTCTAATGATGGGTGAGTATTGAGGTCTGTCTTTGTCAGGGTTTTTTTAGACTTCTGTGTTTTAATATTGTGCTCTAATAACTTGCTTTAAATATCATCCTTTTAAATCTAGAGAAAGTACTCAAGACAACATTTGGTAGAGATCTGGAAGCAAAAATTTTATGTGACTGGCAGTGTTCTGTCTAGAGAGAAGAGGTCTAAATGGGGATAGGATGTGATCGGAAAAAATGTTAAAGATGGTAGATGAGTTGAATTCTGGATCTGTTCATCAAAACCTCTTACACTAATAAGCTTTTGTTGGAAGTGGCTTGAGTTAAATTTAAAATTAATAACAGAAAATACTTCATTTTGAATACTGTCCAAGTACATTCTGGAATCTGTTGTTACAGGAGGTTGTGGAGGCAGGTTTAAAAAGGATGAAAAAAAATAATATTTAGAAGGTTGCATAAGCAGATAGGAAGTACAGTAGGCATTATAACATGTCTTATATGACAGTTGTGGATAGTGAGGTTTAATGGAAGGAATAAGCCATCATGACAAGACTCGGTTAGTATTATTATTGTTGTGGACAAAGGATGAATGTAGGACTAAATTAGGACTAATTTTTATATGTTCTTCAGTAAAAGTAATTAAGATGGAATTTCATGCTAAACTACTTTTGAAAATGTGTGGTGTGGAGTGTCCTCAAGATACATTGTTTTTGCAGTGGTTTTAGATCTAGAATTGGTGTGGTTTTCATGCAAACAGTTTAACTGTTGGTAAGGTCTTCTTTCTTGTGGAAAATGGTGAGGCAAAGCCCAGTATATCTTTTGTGATTTTGGTACATAGAGATTTCATATAAGAATGTTTCACCTAGTATATATGTATATTAAAAAAAACCACAACAGTCTCGTAGTCCAGAATCAGTCTTTCTGCAGGGCAGGAGACCTGCCTCTACCAGGTTTGGCATTCTTAATTTCACGTATGGATATGATTTGGCATTCAGAGTCTTCAGTATATTCCTCTTTGTCATACTTTATTAAGAAAACCTTTATCTTTAAGAGGAGAAATGCAAAACTTTACAGTATTGCACTTCAGAGGAAAAGGTGAAATCAAAACATCTACTCATCTCAAAGGTTTTTATGTTGACTTTTCTCCCAAGTACCAAGTGATAGATCAAGAGGAAATGGCCTCAAGTTACACGATGAGAGGTTTAGACTGGATATTGGGAGAAATCCCATCACCAGAAGGTTTATCAAGCATTGATACAGGCTGACTAGGGAAGTGATGTTGTCACCATCCCTGGAGGCATTTAAAAGATGTGTACATGTGGCACTTGGGGACAAGGTTTAGTGGTGGATTTTGGCAGTGTTGGGTTAACAGTTGGATTCGGTGATCTTAAAGGTCTTTTCGAACCTAAATGATACTACAGTTCTATGACAGTACACTGTCACTCTTGTATATGTTGAAGATGAGCTCTGGAAATTTTGCAGTAGATTTCTCTGTACTGGATGTAAGATTAAGTTACTTGAATTATGGTGACTACTCTGGAACTTTTAGTAGGGAATGTGGTGCTATTTCTAACTACATACTGAGATTTAATCTTCACATTGCAAAAGGGACTGCCACAACTGGCATGTGTTGATAAGGACATCTAATAAGGAACACTAGCATGGGACCCTTTGTGAGGTCAATCCTGAGCATTTGAATATAGGAGAATGAAACTAGTGTTGACTTTAATACGCATGAAGAAAGACTGAACAGTGTCCAGTTTTGCTGGCTGTAGTCTCTGTTGGACATCACACGGAATACTGAAGCAAGGCAGTATGAGCTCTTACCTAGAGACTTCTCTCCGGTCACTTGATCAGTACTCCTGAGTGCATGCCGGACATTTCATGATGCATAAAGGAGTTAAAAAGCGAACTTTGCAAGTAGACCTAAGGACTCCACGGAAAATAAAGCATTTTAAGTATATTTGAAATGCATTTAAAATAGTCAAAATACTTCTTTCTTTTTTCTTTTTTTTTAAGTTGTCCTGCTATAATTCATAATACTTGGGGATGGTTGTCTGCTTGAGAGTTTGATTCTGGGTGATTAAGACTGTAGTAATATCCTGAACTAAGAAGTAACTGAAGGCTTTTAGAATTGCTACTGTAAAATAACTGTTTTGAAGAATGGTCTGTTTCTTGTGATTTATTCATGCATTCAGATTTGCTGGAAATTTTAAAAATATAAATCCTAAAAGTAGGTTTTAACTACTATGTGTATTTTAATTTGTGATTATTAGGCTACTTCTAAGTTTATTGCTTTAGACTGCAGATACATGGGTTACCAGCAGGGAGTCTCAGTGTGTTTTCTGTGACCGTTCAAGGACAAGATGTTGAACTTGGAAAAGACTATATAAAAAAAGACACAGTTCCTTCTGATACGGGAGCAACAGAAGCTGGTCAGCTTACATGCTGAAGTGAGTCAAGACCTAAGTCTGACAGTTATAGAATAAGCCTGAAAACTCTTGTTAATTTGCATAAATTCATGTCCACTTAAGCGATTGAGTTATTGTTAGTGAACACATGTATGTTAGAGCAGCTCCCTTAATTTTATTTTCCTTGAAATATTTCAGAAGATTGTTTGTTAAAACATGTAATACCATTCTATTTTTTCTGTCATGTTACAGCAAGGTTTTTTTTCAAAAAAAGCACCTTATTTTTAAAGAAATGATTTCATTGTGGCAGAGGGGGGGGTGGAACTAGGCAGTCTTAAGGTCCTTTCCAGCCCTAACTAATCTATGATTCAGTGATTATTCTTGAGGTGGAGTTGAAGCATAATTTTGTTGGGCTTTTACAGGTTGGTTAGAGTTTGTTAGCTTTTAGTTGCAGAAGGAAGTAGGGAATTTGTTAGTTCTGTAAGTAATCTGGTGATTAACCTTACGCGTATGGATGAATAATACTAATTAACCTAGAGATTTAGCTAGGGAGTTCTTTATTTGAAACTATTTTTTTACTAGGTTAAAGCTTGTGCAAATATCTCAGAACTGCATAATGTTGCTTTTAATTTTCCAACTTTTGAAGTGATTTGAATAAAATCATATCAAAAGAAAAGACGGACATAAAAACTCAAGTGTATTCTCCATAGACCGTCAGTAATTCTGTCTTTAGAAGTTTGCATTACCAAGATAATAAATCTGATTTTCATGAATTCGGATGCTGTTAATTTCTACCTATCCTTCACTGTTTTTAAAGCATGCATGCAAATCTCTTTTCAGTATTAATAGTGAGTTGATTTAAACTTTCATAGGCTGTTTATGGCTATACATTGCCTAGATCTTTAAATACGTCACAGCTATTCCTGAAAGTGATACTGTAGTGATAGGACAAGGGATAATGGGTTAAAACTTAAACAGGGGAAGTTTAGATTGGATAAAAGGAGGAAATTCTTTCCTGTTAGGGTGGTGAGGCACTGTAATAGGTTGCCCAGGGAGGTTGTGAGTGCTCCATCCCTGGCGGTGTTCAAGGCCAGGCTGGACGAGGCCTTGGGTAATATGGTTTAGAGCGAGATGTCCCTGCCCATGGCAGGGCGTTGGAACTTGATGATTTTAAGGTCCTTTCGAACCCTAACTATTCTATGATGCTATGATTCTATGACAGATAAGTCCATTTTAATTGCATTTATTCTTTGCAATTTTAGATAATGGTTAAGATACAATGTATGAACAACAACATCTTCGTTTGTCATAATGTTTTTAACACATTATTCAGGCTTATTTGGAATTTACATTTATTAAGAAGGGTCTGTCAATTTAGGAACAGTATGTAGAACATGTGTACAGAACTACAGTAAAGTTTGTAATAACAGAAATGCCAACACAAATGCATTACCTGAAAGTCAAGGAAAATTTTGAAAATGAGAGAGTAAGAATTCTTCTCTGCCCTGGAAATACACTTGAGCAGTGCCCTGAAAACATAATGTGTTTTATGACATAACTAACTCCTTGTTAGTTGATTTCTGTGTTAAAGAAGGAAGAGTAAACAGATAATATTATTTTCATTATTTGGATGTGTTCTTATCACAGAGGTGATAGGTAGTGCTGTGTGAATAAGCAAGAATGCTTAGTGGTACTAAATGTTGCAGCAACAGGTGTTGTATGTCCCTACTCTTACATATGTTTTTTTTTCTTTGAGAAGTAGAATCACAGCTAAACTTGAAATTTAGCAGTCCTCAACTTTGTGATTTGTCATTGAGGCTAAGGCTGTGGTTGCTTAACAGCTTGTTTACTGTAGAAAATTCCTCTCACAAGTCTTCCCTCTTAAATTTCATACTCTTTAAAAGATGCCTTTTAGAATATTGCCTTATAAGTTATTTAGCAATGAATTTTACATCAGAGTAGATATATCTACAATTAAATAGACTAAATTATTTCACTGAATAGCTTCAAATCTTAAAAAATGGAATTTCACATTTAAAGCACAATTTAATCTCTAGACAGAGAATTCAAGGTAAAAATAGTCTTAAAAATCCTTTTTTTGAGGTTTAAAACAGTTAACTGACAGTGGTAGTTTAACTTTTTAAATAGAAAAATTGGCAATAAGCTTAATTAAATTTGCAGATATGATTTGTAGCTTTAAGCATGCAAAATACAATTTGTGAGGGATGAGTAGCGTAGTTTGCATAACTTCCATCAGTTTTGCAAGCAGCTATTTAGAAGACTCTTCTCTCCTTTAGGACTTTCATTATGCCTCAGATGCTACTTGGGGCTTTTGAAATTAGATACCTCTTAGTAAAGAGTGCTTTTTCATGATCACTTTATCTCGCCTCTCTTTCGCTTTTTATATGTTAACCAGTTCCATCCTGTTAACCAGTTTTACATCTAGAATGGCCGATGTCCTGTTTCCCTCCTATTAGCTGCCTTGTTTCAGTGTCTGTGTAGGTGGTAGCTGTCAGTATATGATGACTTCTTGACCATTGTTTTCTGGCAGGTGTTCCTGTAATTGGGCCCAGAACTGCATAAAGGCTCTGATAGCTTGGCAGGAAAGAGATTTGAGGAAGGTCTGGAATAGTACTGCTAATAATGGCCTGCGGTCAATTTTTCCTGCCTACAGAGCAATGAGTTGCTCTTCCTCCCACAGTGCCATTCTGCTTGTCTTGGTACGGAAACATCACGTGAGCCCAGATGATTCTGTTTTCATTTAGTTGATGAGGTCTCTGTACATAAGCTTTAGAGCAAGTCACTGACTACAG